CAACGGACGGTGTGACAGATCGGTGGCTTTCATATCTGCAGGGTTACTTGCCCACTCTGGCCCTCTCCATGGCACGATGTGATCTTTGGCTTCATCTGTGCACGGGAAGCTCTTTGGCTGTGTGGTTTGCAGTGCCTCTGAGCACCTGGCTCTCTGACAGGCAATATCTGGGGATTTCTTCGTTAACTAGCGGACCTAATTACCTGCTGTTAGTGTCCTATCAGCTGCCCCAACTCCAGTGTGCTCAGTGCTGTACAAAATAAACAGCTTTGTCTCCCGGGCAGAGTGCTGACTGTGGGGAAGTGGGTTTGCTCTTCCTTACCTTGCACCCACCCTCACTCTTGTCTGTAAAACAATTAAGTCCATTTATTTCTGGCAGAGGCCAAGGCTGTCTCACAAAACTGGGTATCTGTGCCTCCCCTGCCCAAAACCCTTGTTACTGCAGCCCCGAGCTTGGTCGCAGCGTGATGTGGGTTGTGTGGCGAGGCGTGCGGTGTGCGTATGTGCATTTCCCTCTGTTGGCGTTTGCAGGAATTGCCGTGGGTCAGGGACCGTAACCTGCATCCGTGGCTTTGGGTGTGCGGGCGGCAAGTCAAAGGGCGCCAGGCAGGGCTGCTGGTCTTAGTTTCTTCTTCTTTTCTCTTCCCTCAGGTCAACGTGATGGCCGTGAGCATCTGCACCCGAGAGGCCTACCAGTCCATGAAAGAGAGAAACATTGATGATGGGCATATCATTAACATTAACAGGTATGCAAGGGGGGGAATGTGGGATCAGTCACGTGTGCTTCCTCCTCCCCGCCTCGCAGAGAGGATTTGAGTGGTGGAGCTTTAACCTTGGAGTGGGCTGATGGTGCCCAAGGAGGGGTTTTCCAAGGATTGCGATGGTTGATTTTCAAACCACTTTTTTTAACCTCTGCTGGTTTAAATGCAAGAAAGACCAAACCAGGGAGAAAAGGATAATGCCAACCACTTGTGATGGTGCAAGGTTGAAGATTGAAACTTCTTGACCAGCTCCAGAAAACAGCTGTGTTGAGAGGAGCCTCTGCATTCCCCACAGGAGAGGGGAATTCCTCACATAGCCACCACATCAGCATCTCTCTGTGTTCATTACGGTGGTTTGACTATCCTGTTGGTTCCCTCTCGGGACTCTGCTTGCCTCCCTGCCTCTCAGCACTTTCCTTTCTGCTCTCCCCTCAGCATGAACGGCCACAGCGTTGTGCCACAGTCGGTGGTGCATTTTTACAGTGCCACCAAGTATGCAGTTACAGCCCTCACGGAGGGGCTGAGGCAAGAACTCAGAGAAGCAAAGACTCATATACGAGCTACAGTGAGTACTGTGGGCTCTCTTCCTCTCTCCTGCTTTTGGGGGTGGTAGAGAGCTGGCAGGCTTTATGGGGCAGAGGTTTTCCCTTTGGAAAACAGGCAAGGAAACGCAAAAATAGCACTCAGCACACTGGGAATGTTCAAGTCCTGTGGCCAGCTGTCCCTGGCCACCTCTTTCCCAGGCAGAGAGAGACTGGGGGGCAGCAGGCACAGCAGCAATGAGCTGTGTCAGGGAATAAACTTTTTGGGTGCACAAAGTGGGCAGTTGCTTGTCCAGGAGCGAGGGGGGCTCGTGACAGCAGAGGGAGGCAAGCAGCTGGGCTGAATGCCCTCATGCAGAGCTTGCATCTCGGAAGTGATGTGTCCAGAAGTTAATTTGTATTGCAAGCTTTTCCATCATTTTCTCTGCTTCTCTGTCCCTTTGGGGTGTGAAGTACCCATCAGCGGTTCCCCAGAGGTACCTGCCACAACAGTCGTTATGGCAAAGCCTGCTCTCTTAAACTATTCCCCTAGAAAAAGGGTGGGGAAGGAGAACAATAGAAAGGGGGGTGGAGGTTTTCTTTGGCTTTTTCAGTGCTAAAAAGTTTTTCTCTCCTTTTTTTTTTTCTTTATTCTTTTACTGAAGGGGAATTACAAATCCTATTAGGATGTGCTCTGCTTTTTTCCAGTGTATATCTCCAGGACTGGTGGAAACGGGATTTGCTTTTAAACTTCACGATAATGACCCTGAGAGAGCTGCTGCAACCTATGAGAGCATTCGGGTAGGACATGGAGAAATGGAAACAGAGGGAAGTGGCTCTGACTATAGTTTAACAGTCTCTCTCCTGGCTAGTTCTGCAGAGTGCCCAGTGCTTTCCAGGATGTAATTAGCATCCCCAAAGTCTCAGCACTCAAACCTCAGATTTTGTACTGATACTTACACACTATGTAGGTTTTCATTTAGTTTCTGACTCCCTATATTTTTCCTTTTATTTTGATGTTCCTGTAAATAAGTGTCAGTCAGCTTTGACATTTGGCAGGCTATAACTTCTTTATTGAAGAGACGATACAATAAGCAAACATGCCTGCACTAGAAGAAATGTGAGTGAGCTGTCTTGCAGGTGGCTAGCACAGGATTTCTTGTGCTTCTCTGGTAATTTTTGATAAGGATGGCAATGCCTGACCTGGCAGAATTACTGTGCCAGTAGTAAGATTATTCAAAGCAAATGGAGAATTATCAGCACCAGACGCGTCCTTTGTTAAATTTTTAATGGATTTTTTTTTTTCCCCTGCTTGCTTGCATCTTTTTGACATGCCCCAGTGACACTGTCGAAACTCATTATTGATAGTTAGGAAAGAAGTGATCTTGTGGTTAACGTCCTGAGGTGCCCTTTGACTAAGAATCTCTTTCCTGTCTTTCCAGTGTCTCAAAGCTGAAGATATGGCTAACGCTGTCATATATGTCCTCAGTGCCCCACCTCACGTACAGGTAGGCTGTGGTTGGGTTGGAGGACTCTGCGGTGGGTGGCTGAAGGCTGGGAGGGTAACTGCTGCCCTGACGTTTGCTAATCAGCGTTGCAGCCGCTGTATCAGCTGTGTGCTTAGCGGAGCCTGGCCTGGGGATTAGCGGTGATTACCTTTGTTTACACTTCCCTTATGGCAGCTATGGGATTGCGCTGCTCGGGCTGCTCACAGCCCTGCGGATCCAGCAAAGGCTGCTCTGACTCCAGAGAAGATCTGCACAAGGCAGGGGGAACGGGAGGGTGATGGGCATGCTTAATTTTTTTTTTTTTTTTTTTTTTTTTTTTAAATGCTTCTATGCGTTCTTACAAAACCTTCCCTATATTTACCAAATTCTGTCTTCAAGTTATTTTGGTTTTCTACTCAGCTAGTCCATTGGGACTTTATTCCAGAACTTCACCTCTTGGGATGTTTGAAAAATTTCTTTTAATTTTCAGTCTAAATTCATTTAGGATGGTGCCGTCTGAGATTTGCTGACGGTCTTGCAGCAGAGTCAGGTCCTGCCAGCTGCCAAGTAACATGTTGGGCCTGAGCCTGGCAAGTGCTGTGCGCCTCCCCAAGGGTGGCGTGAGATGCTTGTGCTGCCAGAGGGACTTCCCTCCTGTGAAACAAGAAATAAGTGACCAGCTTTGAGCTGGAGCCAGGAGGAGGTAGGAGCAGTGTCAAAGTTCAGCATATGCAACATAAAAGTTTCTATTGCAAAAGCAAGCTTTGGTCATGAGAAGTTTAGCAGCCCCTCGCATGAACTCTGCTCCTTTGGAGCAAGACACGGCCGCCTTGACGTTGGATCAGTAGTGATAGCTGGCCTTCTTGTCTTAAGAGGACAAAAAATTCTGCTGTGGCTGATCAAGCAGTGCTTCTGCTTGACCCTTTGTGAGCAGGACCAAACTAAAGGCTTGAACCATGAGAGTTTATACTCCCTGTCATCTTGCACTCTTCTTTTCTGTGCATGTTTGTGCTTTTATTCTTTCTGCTAAAGGCAGAGCAGTCACATTCACCTTCATTTCTTTCTAATATCTCAGTTAAGCAGGCTCATTTCTAGTCACAGGAACTTTCTTCATGTGCAGCTTGCCGCTGTAATGGTGCAGCGTGGAAGTGCCCAGTGCAGGATTTAAAAAGGACTTCAGTGCTCCAGTAAAATCCTGCGTTGGTCTTTTCTAGATTGGAGATATACAGATGAGGCCAACGGAGCAGATATCATAGCAAATGAAGAGGACCGTGAGCAGCACCGTGTATCCACTTCACTTCGAACCCTCCGGCAATTTAGGGTTTCGTCGACTGGCTAGCAATGTTTTAATCAAGTACCAAGGATCACGTTTGAAGAATTATTTTTCTCTCCCTCTCTCTGAGCTGGTGCTGGTGCTGAGCCAGTTTAAGAAAAAAATAGTAGTGGGTCTCTTTTCTCCCCCACTCCTTTCTGAAACTGCTTAAGAGTAAAATGTATTTGAAAATAATGCAGGGAAGTGGTTTGTGGAAGATTGTTGTCTCCAGGCTGGTTTATTCTTCCTTTCGCTTTCTTTTCAAGGTTTGTTTGATCTTATTTGCTGATGCTGTGTCTGGACATAGGTGAAGTGGCATAAGATGTTTGCCAGTGTGCTTAGGGTTTGAGATTTTTCAGTGGATGTCATCCTGAATCCATCTAATTTTGGGGTTTATTTTCATCAGATTGATTACTGATGGTAATGATGCACGTGATATTTTCTACTTCTTTCGTACTCCACTGCCCTAAACCCAGCGTACAATCTCACCCACCTCCCCAAACCCTCCTTTCCCATTCTCATGAATCATGCCTGCCAAGTTTGAGGAAGTATAAATGTGTGTGCTTGCTATTTCTCTTTCTTTCTAGGTAGGTAGGTAAATAGTTGGAGGAAAAGTACCTGAACTTCTGCAGGTTAGAATGATCATCTAAGTGGCATAGTTACAGTAAGAGTGAGTTGTTTGGTATTTTTAATAAAAACTAAATGTGTGCTGTCTTGTGATCACCTCTATCCTTGGTGTCATCTCCCAGCACTCTTGATGTTTTTGTATGTGATATTTGCATGCATTGACACTTTTCTGGAAATATTGATCGGTCTTAGAAAGATGTCTGGTGCTGTTTAAATGCTGGTGCTGATGAGTTGGAAATGGGGAAAGTTTGTTTATATGCAGAGATACAAACTCGGAGAGAGAGAGAGTGAAATGAACCATGCCGAAGCTGTCCACGATGAAAAGATACTAGTAGGGGCATTTGCCTACGAAGCAGCAGGTAAAAGGTCTGGTTCAGATCTCGTACTAGTTCTACGCTGGTGCAGCCCCATTGTTTTGCTCTGGATTTATTCTAACTTGAGGGAGAAGAGAATCAGCCTCAAAGCTGATACATGCGGAGCTGGAGACCGCTTGAGTTGTCTTAAGACTCTTGCAGCATGGCAGAAGCATGTCTGTGTGTAGTCCAACGTGCTGCAGAGCTATGGCGCTGTTAACGTATATGTTGCCTTAAGATTGCAGACTCGCTCCTGCTGCTCTCTGGACTTTCTGTAGTCGAGGAAGGCGAGCCGTTGGTTTAGGTGGAGCAGGTTATGGTCAGCTGATCGGAGCGGAGGAGTGGGAGCCAGAGAAAGTTGGGTTGGATTGTTTTGCTTGCACCAGTATAGCTCTGTGGGAGTTCATCTGTGTTGCACCACTGTAAGGGAGACCAGAATTGGGCCACTACGTCATGAGTTTCAACTCCCTAGAAAGCCTTGGGCAAGTCCCTTTACCTCTCTGCCTCAGTTTCCCCATCTGTAAAATGGGGATAATAATACTTACCTACCTCACAGGGGTGTTGTGAGGACTCACAAACTTTTGTAAAGCACTTTGAATACGAGAAGCGCTATGTAAGTGCTGAGTGTTGATATGAAGTATTATTATTAAATCTTGTGATACATAGAATTCCTTGTGCCAAAGGTGAGCAGCTGTAGAAGGATACAAGGAGAAAACTGGTAAAACACGCCTTCGGAATGCCAAAACAAAGGCAATTTGCCCCTTTTTTTCTCTTTATAAATACACACTCATGGTGTGTTCTGTCCATTCATCATCTGTCACCAGTTTCTACTGGCAAGTACACACAGCCTCATCTCTGGATTTGGCCTTCTAACTTAGCGTGAGTGAAATTCATACCCCGTGGTGCAGTCTCGCACCGTTGTGATGCACTGTCCTCCTCCACCTTGCCGAGGCGGTGGCTTTGCGTGGGTTCTTTGCACAGAGCTGGGTTTCACCCGCAGCATTGGGTTAGATGGTGTCCTGCAAGGAGCGGCCAGCCCAGGTCTGCACGCAGCCAGCAATGCTCGCTGCAGCAGAGAGCCTGCGCCAGCTGGAAAAGCTCTTTGGTCTCCGTGCCACTGTGATCCTCAATTCGGAGGCACTTGGCTAAGGAAGGGTCAGGCACTACTGTGCTTTTTTATAAAGCCCCTGTGATGTTCAGCTAGACGCAATATGAAAACTCCTGGAGTTTTCCGTAGGGTTTCTTTTGCAGGAGCTTGTGGAAATTCAGCAGATGCGCTGTGCGGTGTGTGCCATCTTTTTAAGAGAAGGTGGTTGAACGAGGAGTCGGAGGCCAAAAAAAAAAGGAAGTTGAGAAATTGGGAACTCCTGAGCAGAAAAAAATGACCAGGGATCTGGGTAGCACTGGTTAAACATCTGAATTGGTGGCTGCAACTGTGTACAAAGTTAAGCAGATGTTGAAATGCATGGCTGAGGAGGGACCTGACTTATCTTTCTGCTCTGTGAAAGGAGGCTTTGGGAGAGAATTGCTTAAGATGTAAGGCCTTGAAAAAGGGCCAGTCTGGGTAGCTGCTCCCTGCAAATACAACCTGGCTGACCTGCAGCCCTGGAAGTTTGGGTTTTTTTCCCCAAGAACATTTGTAACATTTGCAAGTCTATAAAATAACCTTGAAATGATATCCAGTATATTTTTCCATTTCAAATGTGTTTTTAGGGGATA